AAAATGTTTGGTCATTTAGTAACAATCAGTAATGCAAATCATTCAGAGTCACATTGTATCTTATCAAGTGTTTGTTAATCCATGAATCTACTCTGGAAATAAACTCTGAAGAAAGTTCTTCTTTAAAGCCGCCAACCTGCCTCTGCGAACAAAACTGCAATTGAGAAAAAAATCATTTTCACGAAAATATCCATTTAAATACGTATGTGCTTATCATACGCACCTGTGATCTTCATAAGGTAACCTATGCTTAGCACGCAAGTACTGGACAGATCATATAAAAGGAAACATATGATAGGAATAGTCACATAGTTAATAAATTGAAAATGTCGAGCATCTGAGAGTAAGCATCTATGTTTGCTTACAATTCTGAATAATTGAGCCTTTGCAAACCGTTAGGCACGTTGAAATTTCTTATTGAATTATACTTCAAATTAATTTTTGTTATTCAATTGTTTCGTAGCCGTCCTTTATTAGTCTCATTTCATGATGCGAAACATTTGATTATTTTTATGGGTTTAGACGAGTGACGCAAGCGGTTACTTACCGTAGGGCAAGGTCGCGTTATCGAAGTGTAGGATTTGTCCACGATTTGGGCCTAATATCGAATTCCAAACATTTGGTTGTCATTATTAGTAAAACTGGAGGTAAATTCGTCGTAATTCGACTTGACTGTAAAGGCAAGTAGGAATCATTTTTTTGCTTTAATGCACGGAATATTTTCTAAATAGTTAAATACCTAATTTCTTAAGACTTTGTACTGCAATCATCGAGTTTTATAGTTAAACGAAAGTGATAGGTGTGTAAAAAAAGTGAATTTTTCTTTAGAAGCGTATTTGAGAAAAATAATTAAATTTAATTTCAGAGTAAAACTAATTTGTTAAATTACATCATGATAATCGAAAAAATGGTGTCTAATGGTGTCTCCGTTGGGAGAGAAGGGTTAAGAAATGCTTTTAAATGTTTTGCTGTTGAAAAAGATACGGTTTTAATAGCTTTAACACCGTTTTGTCTTTTGTCTTTTAATCTGCTGCTCTTTACCTGCGCGAAACCACCTCGATTCACAGGAATTGGTTTTAATTTTGTCATTTAGCCTATTTCATGAAGTAACTTCTTTTTTTGTTATAAAGCGTTGCATTTTTTACAATCAAATGCGATGTATATCGAAATGTGCACATTTTTTAATTTTTTGCGTTAAGAATTTATGAATTAATGACAAATGACGGTTACGGTGACTATTAATTTGGTTTATAAGTAAACAGTGTTCTTTGGCAATTAAGAAATTTAATTTCCTAGTTTTTCTTCTAACAAGACCATGTAAGAGTTTTTATTATTAAATTGAAAATATTTATGTATTATGCCGTTATTATTTTTTAAATATATATTTATAGTATTAAAACAGAGAAAAAGAAATAGAAAAAATGCTTAAATTCGAAATCGTCATGAAATTAAAACAAACGCAATGATAATGAAGGGGCAAAAAAACTGCAATGCGCCATAAACATTATATACATATAATACAAAACATTTTGCTAACAACATTTACGCCACAAAAGATCATGCTCTGCTTGAAGATACACCAAATGCTATGAAAGAAAATAAGAGAGTAAAAGAACTGAAACGAACACATTTACTGAAGTTTTTACAACAGATATATATGAGACTACTACACTATGAATATGTAGAATGCTCCGCCGCGGCAGAGTTGTGCGTGCGAAGGAATTACAGATATCAAGATAAGCAATAGAATATTTACTCTTGGACTTTTTAGGTTTGGCGGTTTACTTTCAGTATTTCGGTGCAAACTTTCCTTTATAACTTACATACTATTATACCCATGACCGAAAGATGAGCCCAGAAAAAACCTTCGGAGACCTCACAAAGTATACATATACTTGATCAGCATAAAATTCTGAATTAATTTAAACATATCCATTTGTCCGCTTATGTAATGCCTGTTGGATACGCTCTCTTGTTATAAATATACCTATATGTATATATATATATATACATGTGCGTCCATCAGGCTAACGCAACTTCTCTCAATTTCCGAGAGGAATAGAATACTGGGTAGCATTAAGAACATCACTCCAAAGGACCTACGTATCTTATCTATATATATATATACAAATCGTGACCCATACACTTCATACGGGCCTATAATAGAAATTATTTTTTTTGCAAATTATATACTTACTTTTCTCTATAGGCAGTTCTCTATTATGATTATGATTTTTTTCGCAATTGTAAACGATTCTTCGTATTTCTTTAAATGTTTATTAAAAAGAAATTTAAGAAATAATTCCAAAAACATATTAAAAATTTTTGTTCATAATTTGCAAACAAAGGGTCGAGTTCTTATTTGCTAATTTTCCGTATTTCGCTGTTTATAAGACTTTTCATGGGCCCGTTTTTAGTTGTATTCGAATTTAAGCTGACGACGACGATAAGAAGAAATTCGAGATTAAGTTTGTTGTTCTAGACAAAGTTTTTAGAGATCATAATCGCCATATTAAAAGACATGGTTAAATGGTGATCAAATTGAGGTCATACAAGAGCCGAAACATTTTTACGATACGCTGGTGGAAAAAATCTCAATAGCGAAAAATCGTATCTTCTTGGCTAGTCTATATTTGGGTACAGGACAATTAGAAAGTAATTTTGTACAGATACTTAGAAAAAGCTTACAACAACAATCAACGTTAAAAATGAATGAACACATACAAAACTGGAACCTCCACTTTTGTGACGCATTGTATGCAAAAAGTTGTGTCTATAAATTGAGAATAAACCGAAACGCAACTAAATGGTTGTGTTTATAAATTGAAAATAAATTTAGGCGCAACCAAATGGTTGTGTTTATAAATTGAAAATAAACTTAGGCGCAACCTTATAAATTGAAAATGAACTTAGGCGCAACCAAATGGAAGCACAAGAGATTTTATTATCACTTTCATTTCGCATTTCCTCATATGAGAGTAATTAAATGAGACGTTATATATAGGGTATTTTTAACAAAAGATGACAGAAGGACACAACAGATATATTTTCAATGCGATATAGGCCGGCACTATAATGCGTTATTCCTTTTTTCGGGTTAATAAGTTCCAAATGGTACACAAAATGAGAAATTGCATTGCCGTATTATTTTATAAGAAAATTACTGGAACCGTATATTTTATGAAAGTAAAAGTAAATAAAAATAATAAATGTATGCAAAAAAAAAAAGATACATAAAATTAATGTAAAAGCAAGTCACATTTTTGATAATTTAATTGATTATATATATGATAAAAGTAATAAAGAAAAATGACTTTAGAAGGAGTACGAAAGTGAACTTCACTGACGCAGAAAGACAAAGCAAAAGAGTTGCTTAAATGCTGGATTTAACAAATAAATTTAAAACTACAAATAAGCCCATTGCTTGTTCTTCTAATATTAAAAAATAATATGTTTTATAAACTAAAAATTTTAATTCGTGTAAAAAGGATTTGAATTAGTACATAATGAACATGCAATAGGTAAATTATTATTAGATTTGGAAAAAATTCTTCTTGTCCCCTTGTGCATTTTTTTTTTGTTGTATTTACGAATGAACATAGAAAAATATATGATTTGGGAATTTCCACAAAGTGTCGTAAAAGGTCGGCAAAGTTAAAGTTCAGCCCGAAAATAAGGACAACGTATCATTTTACTAAATATTTAATATCTAACTTCATTAAGTTTAAACAAAGAATTTCGTGTTCACCCTTACAACCAAGACAACTGTAAGGGTGTACTCCCTCTTTTAACAAAGTGTTTACAACTGTTTACAACTATTTGAGACTGTTTAATGACATTTTATATACTTTCGATCCGCAATTTCGCTATACTTTTAATCGACATCCGAGCCTTTATATCTTTTAGTTCAGATTCATAATTCGTTTCCTGCAAATTGTCTTGAAATTCTCTTAGAATACTTTGTACGGATATTTGGATTTCTTTCAATATGGAAATTTTTTTACCATACGCTGTTTGAAAATTCGTAGAAATAAGCAAACTTCCGGGATTATTCACCTTGCCCACTTCATCTCGACTCACTTTACTTTTCACTTCTTCCCATTCATTTTCAATAAAAATTTCATTCAGGCCAACTGCGTTTTTACCTACTCCCAACTCCGGCCGTTCTCCGCTAGCTTTTTGAAGTCCTAATGCAACATTAGTTTCTCCCAGCACCAAGTTCTTGGAGTACCCACTAATATTGTCTCTTTGGTTACCTTTAAAGCCAATCAAAATAATAATAAAACAATAAGCATAATAAAATGTGAGGAATATCAATCTTTACCGTTTCCGGCTTGGCGTGGCAATATGTCGATGATTCGCTGAATTTTTGCGAGAAGAAATAAAGTAAAAAGCGAAATATCAAATGAAAAGTTCGGCTGAGAGCTAGATGAAAACAATTTTTAAAATCCCAAAATAGTTTCGTGTAAAAGAAATTTAATATTATTATTATTTTGCTATTTAACGCTGCAGAAAGGCATGCTATGAATACACAAATCCCATATTTTGACATTCGAATTCATAATGCACGATAATTATGATTTTACTGGAATTCCTTAATGATCTTACAAATTTTTAAGCGACAATAAAAAATAAATTTGAAGGCCTCCCCGCGCGTTTAATAATGGGAAATGTTTTTTACAAATTTTTATAGTAAACAAATAGACGTCAAGGGAAGTCACATTTATATTAACTACCTGTGATTTATGCCTACTTGAAAATGCAACCGTGAGACAATCAAAGCTAGCTTTGCTTTTCGATACCATTTTGTCTAAATGAAAAAATCGTCATTTATCAAAATTATTATAAACGTTCCAATAACGCACTATTGTGTATTAATAAATCATTTCAATTTGTTCAATTTGTAAAAAAGAAAAAATATAAAATATATTAAAGCAAAAAATTTAATACCAAAGAATTGCAATTAAAGCTTTTTTAACATCAAAATCTAGAGGTTTTTTAAAAGCATTATTTTTTTTAAATTGCTTTGAGTTGACAACAACGTTGATATAAAATAGAAAAAACAGAATATTTATAAAGGAGGAATATCATTTTCGTGTGTGATCAATTTTTATAATTAAAAGGATTTCAAAAATATTCTAAAGGAATGGTAAGAATTTTTACATCAAATCAACATAATTTTATAGAACGCATTAACATAATTATTGGCCGATGTGATCAGAACAAAGGCATTTTCGTAACATTGTCGTATGAGTTCTTTTTTTTTAATGCGCTTTTTTATAACCAATCTTTTATAAATTTCATATAAATATAATTGTTGACTTTGCAGAGGCCTCGTTCACGCAGTCGCAGTATAAGTGAACGTCGTAGCTATTCACGGTCACCGGGCAGACATAACAGCCGTCGGTAAGTTTAGGGTTTTGTTTTCTGAATTTATTATAAACAACTAGTCGTTTTTCAGTAAGTCCTACAGTCATTATCGATACGATTCGCGCAGTCGTTCCAGCTCAAGACAGCCACCTTCGCCACCGTCTTTACCACCGGGCCGTCATAGTGGCCGCTATTCACACGACAGCCGCAGTTGTTCTAGGTAACATATATTACATTCATATAGTTTTCTTCTTTGCTTCGATTACAATAATATTAAAAATCAAGTCATCCATGAGAAAATTTTATGTAGTATATTTGAAAAAAAAAAAAGAATTTGCTTTCAAATATGAATTTTAGGTCGCCTACTGTGTTGAAGAATCCTAATAAATTTCTCTCAATTTCAGCTTTAATGAAAAACTTGAATTTTATAGAAAAATAAAGCAAAGCAAAATGCAAAATCAAAATAAAAATCAAACAAAAGAATAACAGAACAGTTCCTATATCAACCAAGTCAGAAAAGCACTTAACAAAACAAACTGCAACTTCAATGCATAAAGCACAAAACCTCAATTTGATATGAATTGCAAATTAATCAAATATAAACATGAATTGCAAACTATTTAGGGTATTGAAACAGGTTTATATTTATTCGAACAAATGTTTCCGAATCGTTTAAAACTATGTAATTAATGTGTTTATTTTAATTTATTTCCTTCACTACCCGCAAAAAAAGATCTATAACACCACCTCGTCATCATCGTCGATATAGTAACAGACGGCATGGGTCAACGTCGCGTTCAAGAAGTCGTTCATATTCACACTCCCGTTCACCATCGCGTAGTTCTTATGAGAGGGGTAAACGTAACAATAGAGTAAGAAAATCTTTAGCTCTTAAATACCATTGTTTTAAAAGTTTTAAATTTCGCAATATATTTCAGGAAAAGCCGTCACCCAGCCGCTGTATTGGTGTTTTTGGCTTAAATGTTAGTACTACCCAACATAAAATACGTGAAATTTTCTCAAGATATGGAAACATAGAACGTATACAAGTAGTTATTGATGCTCAGGTGAGAATTTGAAAAGTGCAAGCACATCGTATTCCAAAACAGCTTTTTAGTAGAGAGTTTGTCTATAAAAATTAAATTTGCCGGCCGCTATTGGATATCGGACAAGGTCGTTTGGATTTTCATGCCAATTTTGGCAACTACAAGTCTGCCGATAGTCACATGTGGGATCGGTATTTTTATGTTTTCTGCGAGATGTAAAGGAATATGTTGTGTTTCTTTAATATTCGATGGTCACTGCGTTAATTTTTGGTTTGCTCTTCTCCTCAAATGCATTTCATTTGTTAAGATTCTCTAAGAAATGCTATTAGAAAGGGCTAGAGAAGCTGACAACATTGTGTTAGGGTTTTGTTATTTAAGGAAATAATACAAAACCAAAGGCTCGGTGTTACAAGCTCTTACAAAATATTCAAGTTTCGCTTAATTAATAGAATTTTCAAATTGCAGACTGGTCATTCGCGTGGCTTTTGTTTTATCTATTATGAAAAATTAGCTGATGCCAAGTTGGCCCGTGAATATTGTTGCGGCTTGGAAGTTGATGGACGCCGCATACGTGTAGACTATTCTATAACAGAAAGACCGCATACTCCTACGCCGGGCGTTTACAAAGGGCGCTCTAGAAAGTAAGTCAATCCATCTGTCAAAACCCTCCTACAATCTATTCAAATCAATTTAATTTAACTTGCAGGTCGATACGTGATAAATACCGTTCCCGTTCACGAAAACATACACCTTCACCTTGTCCTATCAGTCACCATCGGCGCCGCTACGAGCGTACTCCTAGTTGTTCCTATTCACCACGTTAGTATGCGTACACTTTTTATAAAGCATTTCGGCAATTAATCCATTATGTAGTCAAAAAATATATTAAGCCTGCTAGTTATGTTAATGATTATCTTAGTCCCAAATAACGGCGCGTAAGAATTAAATGAAGGAAGTGAACAAATTAATTTGGATAGTGTCAAAAGTGTTTTGTCCACAATTATCAAACAATTAAAAAATGGAATTCAAAAACACTTGTTGTTCTGACTTGCGGTCTCACAATTGTGCATATTTTCTTTCAAAATTTTGAAATAGGATTTTAACCCTCAAGTAGGAGATTCGTCCTTCTAAGCTGCACAAAAGATTCGTCCACTGTAAAAAGAGATATATAAAGGTAGCTTGTAACTTTGAATGCCGCCTACGAATCACTGACAAATTGTCTTATGTTTATCATGTATTTATGAGTTGCAAAACATATATCCTATGTACAATATGCGATCTATATGACAACAGAATTCATCTTCGATCCATCCTAAACTCGTACGGTGTAATAGCGTAGTGGATACGACAATGGTTGACCCATGTCGAGCAATGTAAAATTCCTATTTACTTTTTTAAGTTAAAAGCATGTAAATGTCATAAAATTTCGTCTTATATAGCGATTTTTGTTTTTAAATTTGATGAAAAGAAGTGATGCAAGGATTGCGAGTTCTTAAAACGTGAAGTAGAAAATTTTACTTTGATAGTTTCAAATAATTTTTCAAAGTATGTCCTATTAATACATTTTTTCTTTTTTTCAGGTCGTCCTCGTTATTAATGTTTTTTCAGTGGCTATCTTTTCATGTATCTTGTTTTTAGTTTTACTTTAGTGTTTAAATTAATTGCGGTTTTCGTTAGGCGCGCATTTTTTGTGTAAATGAGAAAAAAAGCTGTGAATTTAATTTAATTTAACGATTTATATACATTTCATCATATATATATATACATTGATTTACTTGTACAAGCTAACTTTAATCTTTCTATGCGTTCTCTTATTATTGCTGGGAAATTCACGTGCTTACAACACTGTGTATTTTATTTTTTCTTTTAAATTAAGTCTTGTAAATATTGTTTTTTCCTGAGATGCGATTTCTTTTCATTTTTTTTTCTTGCAGAATTACTGTTACTATTCTCTTCTTCAGTTCACGTTTCGCTTATTTATAACCAGAATTAGAATTTTATTTAAATTTTCAGTATGTTTAAGTTCTAGTTAATAATTTTTCGTATGTTATGTAAAAATTTATACATTAAAAACCATTTAAATAAAATAAACATGAATTGATATGGTTTTGGAGGAAATCTCAAAGAAAATGCACTCTAGATTAAGCCCCAGTTAACGTTTCCATCTTCGTGGAATTTTAGTTACTATCTTGTTGTGTAGACTGAATTTGTCTACTAGTTTTGTAAGCAATTTCTAGGGTTTGTTGGATAACCAGCATATCCGATTCTATACTACGTGCCCAATTCTCGACGTCACCTAGTTCCTGTCATTAAAGTAAATTTGATTACATGAATCGATCGATCTTTCTATGATATCGAGAAAACACCTTCAACGCGCTGCTGAAATTATCAATTAATTGTAACCATTGCTGTGTTTGTTTAGCAAAGTTTGTCGCTCCGGCATGTAATTGTTTCGCTTCTGAATCCAAGCGTTTTTGATTCAAATACGCTTGAGCCACTCTGAAAAAAAAAACATCTTAATATATATTTTCAACTTTTGACCTTATTGATCGTTTGTTGAATGTAGTAATTTTGCCAATATTTTTTAGCATAGTTTTGAGGGCGTTTTAAACATAGGTTTTCTTTTTTGCAAATGGAAAATATCTTGACAGTGCAAGCTAAGGAAATAATACAATTGAAGTGGAAAAGTTGAAAAAAAGATATTGAAACGAGGGAGAGGGAATGAGAAAAAAATATATAAAAAACAATAAAAATTTGCTTTGGTGAAAAAAAAAACACTGGAGGATAATAAACTGCTTGGCAACTTGAATGTGAGCAGATACGCATGATAAATGGAAATATTGTATAAGCCACCAAAAAACGCCGTTTCTAATCGTCTTATTAGCTGCAAAAAAAGGTTTTAACTTTTTTATTTCTAAATATCTCAAAATGTTGACTTTGACGCCAATATACGACATATCCCGATTTACTCTAGGATATCAATGTAATGTTATTTCTGTTTTTGAGTAAACAGAAAAAATAATACATTACCCTACGTTCAGATGTTCTACCAAGGCTTTAGTTAATTCATTCGAGGCTTCTATTGCTTCTTTACGTTTGATTTCTGCGAATGGAAGGATCACGTTACACTCTATTTCCAAAACTATTTTCAGTTTTATAGTTTACCTTGTTCTTGTTTCCGTTTAATTTGCTTGCTTTGATGTTCTTTAACCATTGAGCTTAACATTTTTAGCAACAAATAATTTTTTCGCAACAGACTTATAGCAAAGTCGATTTCGAACAGCTGTTCAATAATATGGTACAAAAAATTGACAAACATTGCGTCTTTTGCACAGCAGCACAAAGTAGCATTGCCAACTGTAATAGAACTACAGTCAAAACAAAACATATCGAACCACAGATGTCATTTCGAACCAAATCGAGAAGTAAATAACAGTTTTATATTTTTATCATTATTATATATGGATACTATTATATATAAGTTACGTTACCTTTATAATGGTGTAGGTCTACTGGGGAGCCAGCCATTTAAAACAATTGGCAACGCGCCTATAACGGTACCTCTAGGGTGGCGCGGAAAACGTCTCATAAAACCGTCGTATAAAATTGCTTTGCTTCGCGGTCAATGATTGACCGTAATAAATACCAAGATTTACTGACGTTATTCAATATATAGTCATTCCAACCGTGATAAAATTCCTTCCGACCATTATAAAAATCTCCCCGACCATGATAAAAATGTCCCTGACCCATAAAAATCGTTGTGCAAATGATAAATGATTATCTCAATTTATTTCACTTTTTTATCTTTTTCCACTTTTGATAATTACTCATAGCGTAAAAAAGCGAATTTCATCGTTTGATCATATATTTCGTTTTTAATTATTTTATGCGGCATCCGAATCATTATCACGTAAAGGCCGTAACGAATTCCGCGAGGGTTTTGTAATGTCGAGCATCGTCGATTAACGTTACAATGTTTTTTATAATATTTATTAATGGCAATTTTCAGAGCTCGCCACAGAGGTGAACGGAGTGGTATGTAGGTAAGGTAAGGTATTCTTCTTTTCAGTTTCCTCCTATTACATATTGATTATATTAGGTGTTTCCATGCATTTTGGACAGCGACTTCTACAGGTAAAACTTATAGAGAAACGGGAAGCACTAGAGTAGATGACAATTGAACTCGATAGCTTTGACCTTTCTCTACCTGAAAAAGCAGTTTTCCACTTTATATTAACTATTTATTCAGTGTACGCCGACGGCGACTTGTATTACATATATTATTGCGTGTTATTATTATTATATCATTATTATATTATTAACAAATTTTGTAAATGTAGTGCATGAACATGTCTTAAACCATAATTGTCCTATTGTTTTTTATATATTTTGTTGCATAGTTGTCGCGTTGCGCATATCTATTTTCATTCAACTGCGTTCTTCGGTATATGTAACATCAAGCTCCAATATATCTTTACAGCTCTCTAAATTCAACTTACTCCACTTAGTTGTAAAAACAAAAGATATCTACACATGCTACATACCTGAATTTAGAAATATTTATGCAAATCTCACTTAACACTGAGATTGGTCTCCTTTTAAAAATATTTCCCCAAAAATATGTATGAATGTACTCATGTGTAATTCCTTCTTTTTCTCCACCAATTAACACTAATTTTTAATATAATGAATGAGATGAATGAGAATCTTCCTCGCGAAGTCTGTTAAACTGGTCGAAATATCCTCACGAAGTCTGTTAAATGAGAAATTTCCTCGCGAAATCTGTTAGTTTAGAGTTGCCTCAAAGTAATGTTTATCTCTGAAAAGAAACACGTATCATGTTCAGAAATTTTCCCATTACTACTATTGCTGCCTTCAACCGGTACTTTGTTCTACGCTACGCTAATTAACAAAGCCATATTAAAATTTTTTATTAAATTACTAAGCTTTCAGATCCAAATTTATTAGAAGAGATAAAAGAAACTTCGATAGATACACCTTGTGGTTCTCCAGGAGATGCTTTGATTGCGGGTAAAATTAATGATATTGATTACGGCGATGGCGAGCCACATTATTACGCCTTAATAATTGGAATCTCCAAGTGATAGTCAAAGACAAAGAAACAAACGAACGGAATATCAGGAAAAAGAAGACATTTATGAAGAGATGAGAGGTATTTCCAACAGAAGAGGTCCCCAACGTATTCAAGGAAGCGTACACAATTTTCTATATAGCTGTGCGGCAACATATGGGGGAATCAAACATCGGCTAGCACATCTAGGCAACGGTAGCTTCGGGGCTTGATTTCTTGAGGGCAGCAGGTTTCTGTAGCAACGGTAGAAGCCATCGCGTAAATTTGTTTGGCTACATTTTATTCATGCTGGTCGCAGCCAAAACCTTCAGAGAACCTTTCGACAAAAATGTTACTTAATTCTAAATTACAAGACACCATCATGCAGCACACTGCCTACCAAAGATATATATATATTTATATAAATGTTGTGAGGGCCCAAAGTCGACCCTCGTTTTGGCCGCACGGGTTCTCTGGTGGGGGAAAGAGAGTACTAGTTTAAATTGGAGAGTAAGTTAGCATAGGAATAGAGTAAGAATAGACTAAGAATAGGATAGGAGTAGAATAAGAATAGAATAAGAATAGGATTAGGAATAGAATAAGAATAGGATAGGGATAGAATAAAAATAGGTTAAAACTAGGGTAGCGTAGAATAAATTAGAATAATTTAGAGTTAGTCTTGTTTTAGCGTCATCGAGAGCGAGTCGTCGTTTAGAGTCATAGTTTGCGATTCATAGCAGTCGGAATAAAATTTATATTAAAATAAAGGATAATAAACGTCCCTGTAAATAATAAATGTTCCTGTGTTTTCCTGGGGCTGCTGATCTGCTCCAGCTCTAGAGAATGGGCCGAAAGGCCTTGTAAATGTATTTATATATTTATTATTTGTCCACTTATTTTTATTCTATTTTAGCGTACACCACCCAACGACACATCAGGAAGCACCCTTTTCCCACCATACGCCAAACAAAAAGATATATATATATATATGAGTATTGTGAGGAACCGAAGTCGTCGCTTGTTTTGGACTCACAGGTGCTTCGCCTTTGAGAAGGAATGGTAGGCTAAGTGAGGTTAAGAATAGGATTAACTACTAGACGGACGACGGGAGGTAGTCAGAAACAGACCGTTTATGATTGGGATATGGTAAGGTTACCAAAAGGAAACCTTGAATCGTAAAACAGCTCCAAATGGTCCGTGTCGACGGACAGACCGGTCCGGTCGAGTAGTGGAGTCAAAATTAGGCGAGAGCCGAAAACGACAACGCGAATACAGCAAAAAAGCGAAACTTGTTATTAGATAATAATAACGAGAGTACGCTTCGAACTGGCGAAGTGTTTGTACAATTTGTAGAACTTCGATGTAAATTTATAATTATATGGTCAAAGTTTTAAAATGACTAGAGCGAGTTTGCGATGATAGGAAATGTAATAAGCATGTAACTTCAATCAAACTACGGTTCTTGAAATGCTTTCGTAGTGTAAAAGGAGTTTATATTTATTGTCAAAATGTAAGCGAAGTAAGAGAATAAACAAATTGGAAACTTCTGAAAAGTCAAACTATTCTTTAAACATTCAATAAAACATCAAATTCTTGCGAGTCAGAGCCTGATGCCACTGAGCATACCCCAGCACTAGGAAGCATATAAAGTAAAGGTACAGATGTATAAATATTATTATATTTATTATTCATTCATTTATTTTTATTTTATTTTACAATACGAAGGAGGCAATCCGTCCAACACACCGTTCATGAAATAATCCACCGCCCAGCTCATCAACAAGTAACATTCGCTGTATGCCAATAGTAAGTTCGTGTTTATCGTACTTATTATTATTCATCATTTATTTACTTATTTTTATTTTATTTTAGAATACAAGGCAAGCATATACCTCTTATCGCCTCGCACTCTGATTATTTATGCAGTTTCAATGCACATATATATGGCTTTGCTTTTAGCGAAAATTCTAAAGCGTGACGATGACACGGTACCTATAATTGATTTCATCAACATCCACCGACATATGTCGGGGTTGACGTGGACAAATATAAAATTCTGTAATCAATTCCACGGATTTAAAAAATAATCCGATGAAGTTGTATCAAAATGAAAATAATCCGTTGAAGTTGATGAGTCTATTGAATAGTTTGAAAAATAAAGAATAAAATTCTCGTAAAAAAGTGAAGATGAATGTCAGCTCATAGCAGCATAAAACAAAGAAATGTTTAATAATTTTCATGCCAATTATTCAGATTGTTTTCGTTTATTTCATACAGACACCCGCACCGAATAAATTTACGACAAAATTTACGATCGGAGGACCTATATATAATATCAAGTGAAGGTGATCTTTTCATTTCCATTATTGATTTATGTAAGATTCATGCTCATCGAAGACGTGAATTAGATATGTATCTCCTTATCTGTTTTCTTTCAAACGGTAACAAGCTCAACCTCTGGTAGAGACTCTTTCCTTTAGACTATTTATTTGGCTTCAGTATGCAGTTTGTTTTTCGACAAAAATAACGAGCCGCATATTTCACATCCTTTATAAAAATTTCAGCTTGGCAGCAAAATGAATAAAATATTTCACGTAAAAAGTAGTCAATTTTGTCAATTATTTGTATTATTATTATTATTTTAATTTTAGACTAATGAATTGAATTCTTAGACTAAAAAAAAGACATTGAGCACTAGCAACACAGGCTATCGGCTCTAATTTAAATAAATGGATATTAGATAATAAGCTTAGTAGTATTAATAAAGTAATGTATAGAATTGATATTCTGTTCTGAAGCTGATTGTAGAATGTTCAAAGGGTTAATAGTTCCAAATGCAATACTTCTAGCCAAGGAAAAGTTGAGGCAGTCGCAGAGAATGTGCTTTATAGTAAGAGTTTGTCCACAACAGCAGATTGGGGGAGAAGACTTCTTCAGGATCCATTGGTGAGTTGCAATTGTATGACCAAGGCGAATTCTCGAAAATGTTTGGATCTTGGTTTTCTCAACATTTGTTGGATATAGAGGTGGAGTTAATTGCGGGTTAATGCAAGAGTAGTGTTGATGATGGTATTGTAAATTTCCTTCTGCAATTTTCTCTTTAACTTTTCTTCCAATGTATCTTCGAAGATCCAACTTTTCCATGACATCATCCATAATTAGAGGAGCAGAAGCAGCATACTTTGCCGCTCAATCAGCCTGCTCATTTCCTAGTAAACCGATGTGACTTGGTACCCATAACATTTTAATTTTTCCGTCGGGTGTAGTAATTATATGCCTTAATTTGTTGATGGTGCTCCATCTCGAAGCCGAAGGGTTCCGGGTAGCTTGTAATACAGACAAACTGTCAGTAACAATGACGGTTTTGAGTTTGTTTTTATGGGCAAGGTTGGCAGCGTGAAGGATAGCTCTGGCTTCGGTTATGAAAGTTGAAGTGCTTTCGTGAAATATGTGGTTGAGAAGAACCCGTCCTGTAGCATCTACCACCGCACAAGCAGGAGGCAGACCAGGAGATTTTGAGCCGTCTGTGTACAAAAGATTCCAATCAGTACTCTCCAATACTTGGGTTTTCTCAGCTCAGAAGACGTAATTTGGAGTATCTTCTTTCTTGTGCATAGACAGTGAGATGTCAAAAGAGCAGTCTTTCAAAATCCAGGGAGGTTTAACACCAAAAGAGCGAGAAATTTTTAAGGGAATGTTCAATTCCTTTGCGATGCACAAACAACGGTCAATTGCAGATGGTGACTTTGGAATTTTCTTCGCAATAATAATCTTTCTTACGTCATCACCGAGAATGGATTTGTTTGAATTAAGAAGCTTAGGGACTATTTTAGCTTTTAACTCATACAGTGTATTTTCTAAAGTTTGGAGACCAGTTTCAGTTATAATATTATTTATGGGCGTCGTACGAAAAGCATAACAACTTGTTCTAACGGCTTGGTGATAGACCGCTTTAAGGATGTTGATATTAGATTTGCAGCTATTGCCATAAATTATCAAAGCATAGTCAATCTTGCTTAACACAAGCATTTTCGTAAGATAAGCAATTGTGTTAATATGCGCATGGCTTCTCCAAGCAACGTACTGTATGAAATCAATTATTTGTAAATAAATATTTTGGTATTTAATAGTATTTATTTATTTTTAGATAAT